TGTCTTTGCTAGTCACATTCCCAATCAGGATAAGCAGCGAATCCCTCAGAAAAGGCTGCTTGCAAAATGATGCTGTTACCTTCCGGCAGTCTGTTATTTGCAGAGGACTTTTGTGATATGCATTGCCACATGAAGAGTAAGACAAAGAAAACTTTCTTCAATCATCCAACATTGTTTTACTGAGTAGTTACTATGTACCAAGCAGTATTCCAGGTGTCAGAGAACTAGCAGTGAACAAGACAGAAAAACACCTGCCCTTGGGAAGCTTATTCTTTGGAGGATACAGATAATAGTAAACAGAAGATTTTATAGCAAACATTGCTAAGGGCTTTGAACAAAATAGATGAGTCTCTCAATATGAATCATACAGAATCACAAAGGACTAAGGTTTGAGAAAGTCCTTAAGCTTCCAGACATTCTTATCCCACAAGACCACTGAAACAATAGAGGGAATTGTTAGGCAGGCATGAGCAGAGCAAGGACGATGGGCCAGGTACAGAAACTCACCAGGGCAGGAAGCCCCGGATGCCCAGCAAGGGGCAAAACTGGGAAAACAAGCACCTTGTCCCCAGGGTAACCTATCCTCCCCCAGCGTATCACTGGTCATTCGGTTTAGAGGTTTAGACCCCCTGATCATTTCCTCTCTAAAGGTAATATTCAGGCCTCAGTTGTGTTTCAGCTCCAGGACCAGAAAAGCAGCAGAACCAGACAAGCAATGACATGGCTGACATCAGGACCAGCTACACTGACTAATGACCCCCTGCCCTGGCGCAGGCCAATCAGCAGAAACCACTCTGAAAGAGTACACTGAAAAGCTGATGAATATTCTATTGAGAGACTCCCCTGAGACCTTACCTAAGATTTCACCTGCAAGAAAGAAATAAATAGCTCAGGACGAAAGACCCAGTATTCGATTCCCAGTCAGGGCACATACCTAGGTTGTGGGCTCGATCTCAGGTCAGGGCATGTGTGGGAGGCAGCGGATAGATGTTTTTCACGTTGTTTCTCTTTCTCTCCCTCTCTAAAATCAAAAACATATTTTAAAAAAAGAATAAACTGTAGGGGTAGGCGGTGGGGACAAGCATGGCAGGAGTCAGAAGGGTATTGCAATAATGCAGTTGAGAGATCCTAGTGGCTTGGGACAGTGCAGTAACTGAGAGGCGGTTAGATTCTGGCTACTGTAAAGGTGGGATTACTGTGGGATTAGAAATAGGGTGTAAGAGAGGAGTCAAGATACTATAATTTCCTTAATTTTACCAAATGAGCAGGTACAAATTTGTATTTCATGCTTTAATTTGTATTTCCCTAACTACCAGTGGAGCTAGCATCTTTTCATGTTGACTGGCTATTTGTTATTTTCTTGAGAAGTTTCAGTTTTCTTTCCTTTGGTTAATGCTTGATTTTCTTACCAAAAATCTTGCCCAGGGGGTAGCTTTGGTTGCTGTTTATGCGAAATCTGAGGTTAATTTCTCATTTTAGAAAGATAGCACTACAGAGCTGGTAGGTAACACAGGATTACTTGGTAAAACCTTACAGACAAGCAAACTGGGGCTTAAAAATGGTAACTGTGGCTCAAAAAGGTTCACTGGGCCTCAGCTGAGTAACTTATTCAAGGTATAGGTAAGCAGTGGAGCTGTTACTAAAATTTAGCTTTCCTGATAACCATTCTATTTCACTTTCCATTGACAGTATCATTTTATCTTATTAAGAACTCTGTTTCTGTTGAGACCCAACAAACTCTGCCCCACGAGGGCTCAGATTTGGACAGGATAGTTGATCAAAAGGAATGTCAATAAAAATTTACTACCCAGGCTAAGAAAACAGATTTGCATTGCTTTTACCCCACTGTAACCTCTGAAACAGAAAACAGGTGAGGTGGCTTTCCTGCAGAGCTTCTCCGGCCCCAGCCAAGCTGGGTTCAATAATCACTCCCTGGGCTCCTTTCTGCCTCATTACCATTCTAATTTGCCTTAGTCGAATCCACTTAGGGTATTAGGGTTTTATTTTCTTTCCTACTCGGGAAAAGAGAAATGGGATAAGACCAGCTTATCTTAGTGAAAATGGAACTGGGAAAATTAGAACATGGTGAGCTAAGTCCTGCGGAGCCTGTCCTGTTCAGCAACACACCCATGTCTCACTAAGGGCCTGGGATCCTTCTAGGGGCAGGGTGCTGGAAACAGGCAAGCTCTGAAATAATAAGCAAAGGGGAGTGAGAGGATCCACCTTAGCCAGACATATTTTAAAGCAATTGGAAGATCAGAGAGACTGAAAGGGCCTCGAACGTAACTGATGAGGGCACACGTTTAGAAAGGTAGGTGGACACTTCACAAAGAAGCTGCTGCTGAGCTCTGTGTGTGCCTCACTTGCCCCTTTCAGACACATCACAAAGGCCTTTTTCAAAAGAGCAATTTATGCTACATAGTATTTTAAAACATGAAACAACTGCATTAGACAAACCCCTTCCTTTTGTTAGACAATGCTGATGTTTCTGGATTTGCATTCTAAGAAATTTCAGGTACAGGCACAATACCAGGTCAGGGTATTTCTTAAACAAATAAAAAGGCCAAAAACAAACATTTACTCTTAAAAAAATGATATAAAAAGATTTTCAATGTAAAAAAATCAGAAATAAAAAAATTAAAAATAAAAAAAACATCAACTATAATCCCACCATTACTCACATTTTGGTATATACATCCTTCCAGTTTTTTAAATATGTAAACCTTCTATATACAATTAGATTATCAGGCATAGTTTCATAATTGGATTTGCTCACTCAATATTGTGTGCTGTGTCATATCTCTACCTGTTCTTCCAAAACATCACTTTTAAAGGCTAGTATTCCTCTGCATGCTCACGTCACATCCACTAGGTTGTCAGTGCCACAAAGGCACTTGGTGCAGTCAAGAAAACAGTGCCTCTTACAAAGAATACAACTCAATAGCCATTTATTGAACGAATACATGAATCTAACTAACCAACACCTTGTTGCTGGACACTGAGCTTATTTCAAACTTCTACTACAGCAAACTTACACAAAGATTTTGTAGATAGCTCTAATTACTTCCTTAGACTCAACTCCTAGAAATAAAATTTATTGGGTCAAATGGTACACATTTTAAAGCATAATTAGGATGACCATATAATTTATCATCAAACCAGATCACTTCTGAGAGGAGAAGAGGGCATACTTCATCCAGGACAGTCCTGGTCACTGGGATACAGAATTACATGTCAACACACTTTCAAACTTTGCCTTAGAGGTTATAGCAATTTCCATTCCCACTAGTAGAATATCAAGGGCACCAACTTCCCCAGGCCTAACATTTGTGACTCCACTCTTGATATCACATACATCCTATAATGACTATACTCTGTGGCATTTTTGGTATAAAATAATAAAGAAAAAAAAAAGGAAATCTTATCCTAGTCCCTTACCCTGGTTTCAGGTTCCTTTCTAGGGGCTCTAGTTTCCTTTCTAGGTGTTGGCAAATGTTTTCTGTAAGAGGCCAGATTACTATCTTTTAGGCTTTGCAGGCTATACGGTCTCTGTTGCAATGACTCAACTCTGTCATTCCGGCATGAAAGCAACTACAGATAACCTGTAAATGAATTAGTGTGGCCGTATTCCAATAAAACTTCAGGGACACAAATTTGAATTTCATAATTTTCATGCATCACAAAATATCCTTCTTCTGACTTTTGCCCCACCCCCTCCCAACCATTTAGAAACGTCTAAACTATTTTTAGTCTGTGGGCAAAATAAAGACACTTAGAAAATGTCTGGTAGCCCGGCTGGGGGTGACTCAGTGCTTGAGCATCGACCTGGGATCCAGGCAATCAGGGTTTGATTCCCGGTCAGGGCACATGCTGGGTTGCGGGTTCGATCCCTGATTGGGGGCGTGCAGGAGGCTGCCCATCGGTGACTCTGTCATAATTGATGTTTCTATCTCTCTCTCTCCCCCTCCTTCCTCTCTCTGGAATCAATAAAGATATATTAAAAAAAAAAAAAAAAAAAGTCCAGTAGACAACTAAAACAAAGGGAGCCTGGGCTGGGAGAGGAACCTGCTAGTCTCTTGGCTGGCCGCATTATCCACATGCTCCTCATGGCACACACAACTTGCTTCATGGAGTGTGAGTTTCCAGTTTGAATACATATTTTTTGTACAACATTGCTCCTATACACAAGTCAACTTTATGTGATACTCAATTGAATAAAGAGCAATCTACCGTAATGATGAAGGCTAAGCTGACACTGTTGGATTTACTAAACAGTATGTTGGTTTCCAGTGGGTCACATATAATCTACATTATGGAAACTTTAAGGGATTTTTCCAGGGGTAGTTTAAATTATATAAGTTTTCCTATAACATACTAATTTTATAACCTAGTTACACATAAAGATGATTCATATTAATTTTTTATTCCTTAAAAATACTAAGGAGTACAATATGAACTCAATGTTCAATGCTCATAAGAAAAAAAAGGCAGGACAGAGGAGAAACGAAAATTCAGCAAATCATGTTGCAAGCAGCAGTTATCAAAGTGGCTTGGCTTCCAGCCAGTCATCCATACAAGTAAATTGGGATGTTTCTAAGAGTCCAAACAGAATAAAATGGCATATGATGTTTCTAGAAAGGAACACTAAATCCCCATTATCATTTGAAATACCAATTTCCCTCTAGGAAGATAGAGTAAATATTCTCATTTTATGAATGAGGATACTGAAGTCCAGAGAAATGTATAGTAACTTAGCTTAGGGCAAAGTGAGTTGAGCTGGTGGGAGTACAAAGATGAAAACTTGGTGCTCATGTACTTTCCAAGCTGTCTACAATTAAAAAAGACAGCAGTGACTGGGACATCAAGGAATAGCCTCTCCTCTGAGACAGCCACAAAGAATACTTACCGCAGAGGAGGATGGTGCAGGGGAGAAACAGAGGGCTTCAACAGCAAGAATAATACAGCAAGCAGAAATAGAAAAAAATCCATCCCAGATACACTGACTCTCAAAGACAGATACAGATCTTTAATTTAACGCAGAGTACGTTTAATCACGGAGAAAAAAGTTACAGAACATCCTTGGGAGTTTTCTAGTCCAACAATTAAAACCACATTAAAAAGCCAGCAGCAAGAGTTTAGAGGCCTAAATGACATCTAGAGAAACTACTGTTCCCTTTCCTTGGGTTTATAAAGATGTACCTTTCAGGCAAGAGAGATGGCTGTGATTAATTTCTTTTCTAGGGGGTGAGATTTCCATTTCCATTGTCTTAATGTGTATAGGATTCTTCTGTGAAGGCCAGAGAAGATGGAAGATCAAAATATTTGATGCTAATTGGAATAAAGTAAGACAAATGGCTGATTCATGGAACCACAATTTTATCACAACATCACCAGATGGGGTGGTGGGAGGGCTATTATGCTTCCCATTAATAAAATCTAAGGTATTTAAAGACTCCAAAGACATGGAAAATCACTTCTGCCTCCCTCCGAGGTAATGGCAGGGGCTGAGAAGGCTGTCATGGAACGTCATACCTCCTTGGACTTCTCACATACGTCACTGCCTAAGCAGGACTGGACCACGTCAAACCCCTGTCTGGTCCAGTCCTGGTTATGTGACGTCAGTTTACTCTTTATCAATAGTTCACTCTTCAGAATGAATTTGCAGGCAACAGTGCAATCAATGATGAGTTTTTCCCTGTCTCTGTTTTTGACTTGTCTTGGTGCCAAAATCAATGGCAACACAAACAGCATGGTCATTTACTGTAAGACCTGGCTCTCCAAGTCTCAGCTATCAGGGTCTAACTTAGCTCGTTTCACTCGGCTATTATCATCCAGATGGCAGAAACTTTCTGTGGTGATGTCTCTTTTACTCTCCGTGGGATCCAAAGGGAAGTCCTGGTCTGTGGCCAGTACTTGTCGGACAGTCATGTTAACACGAGCAGTTTTCAAGTAGCTGGTGCACACCTGCCAGTCCTCCACAGAACAGCACTCTACCACCGAGTCTCTTGGGAGGACAGCTGGGGGAGGTGTTTCTAGGCAGCAAGGCAGGCTTTCCCTCTCGGAACTTGGAAGGACCTTTGGAACTGCATGGTTCAACAGGCGGCTGAAACCTGACATTACCATGATGTCACCACTGTGCATAAACATGGCTGTGGGGGCTTCATCTCTTTTGAGACCACCCAGGAGAAAGATGGCAGACTGTCCGAAGCTACAAAAAAGTAAGTAAAACAATACACAACAGTAAGTTTCTGTTACTAACCATGGTTGGAAAAGTTATTGCTAATTGCATTATTTTCTCATTTCAGCTTGGTACTTACCACTCCTAAATCTTTTTTTTTAAATATATCTTTATTGATTTCAGAGAGAGGAAAAGAGAGGGAGATAGAAAGAAACATCAATGATGAGAGAGTCATTGATCGAGCCTGCAACCCGGGCATGTGCCCTGACCAGGAATCGAACCCTGATCGCCCGGATCCTAGGTCGACACTCAACCGCTGAGCCACGCCCGGCTGGGCTAAATCTTCCTTTTTAAACTGTGCTAAGATCCTTCTCTTTTGGCTTGTGTCTGTGAGTGACCAACTCATGATCTGCTACTTAAACTTATAGCCCACAGGACTGTGGTGAAATAAAATTTGAAGCAGTTAAATAAGCAAAATGAGAATTTAGTTTTAACATTACCCATAAAATTTTTATTGATGCATCTTTAAGATTTAAGTCTCCCAATAAAATTACACTAAAGCCCTAGCCGGATAGTTCAGTTGGTTAGAGAGTCCTCCCAATTGCCAGTTATGAATTCAATCCCCGGTCAGGGCACATATAAGAACCAACCAATGAATGCATAAATAAGTGGAACGACAAATTGATGCTTCTCTCTCTCTTCCTTCCTCACTCTCTAAAATCAATAAATTAAAAAAAAATAGAAAACATTACAGTAGAGACCTGGCTGGGTGGCTCAGTTAGTTGGAGCATTGTCCCATACACCAAAACGGTTGTGGGTTTGAAACCCGGTCAGGGCACGTACAGGAGGCAACAGATCTGTTTCTTTCTCTCTCCAAAAAACAAAAAAAATCAATAAAAATGTATCCTCGGGTGAGGGTTAAAAAAAAAAATTTACAGTAAACACCCTTTACCCACAGTTTCACTTTCTGCAGTTTATTACCTGTGGTCAACTGTAACCTGAAAATATTAAACAATTCCAGAAAGAGACTACTGAATAAATAACTCATAAATTTTAAATTGCACGTCATTCTGAGTAGTGTGATGAGATCTCGGCATGTCCTGCTCCGTCTAGCCTGGACATGAATTATCCCTCTGTCCAGCGAATCCATGCTGTATATGCTCCCCGCTCATTAGTCACTTAGTAGTAGTTGTCTCAGTTATCAGATCGACTGTCATGGTATTGCAGTGTTCGTGTTCAAGTAACTCTTATTTTACTTAGTACTGGCCCCAAAGAACAAGAGTACTGAAGTTGGCAATTCAGATACACCAAAGAGAAGCCATAAAATGGTTCCTTCAAGTGAAAATGTATAAGTTCTTGACTTAATAAGGAAAGGAAAAAAACTGTACACGAAGGTTGCTAAGATATACAGTCAGAACAAATCTCCTATCTGTGAACGCGTGAAGGAAAGAGATACTTGTGCTAGTTTTGTTGCTGTACAACAAACTGCAAAAGTTATAGCCACAGTGCATGATAGGTGCTTAGTTAAGATGGAAAAGGTATCAAATTTATGGGTGGAAGACATGAACAGAAAATGTGTTCCAATCGACAGCAGTGTGCTATGCCCAAAAGCACTGAGCCTATACAAAGACTTCAGCAGGATCCCCTGAAACTAGTGACCACATTCACACAACTTTTATTACAATATATTGTTACAACTGTTCTATTTTATTAGTTATTGTTGTTAAACTCTGTGTCTGAGTTATAAATTAAACTTTATCACAGGTATGCATGTGTAGGAAAAAACAGCACATATAGGGTTTGGTATTGTGATTTCAGATATCTCCTGGGGATCTTGGGACATATCCCCTGTTGATAAGAGAGAGGAACTACTGTATTTCAATCCTTTACTGTATTTATCATTCCTATTCACTTTAAGAATAAGGTAATAATAAAATTCTGTTCAGGCACTTTCTTTGTCAGAATCAGTACTTTGCACAAATTTAAACTTATGTTTAGGGAGACAGGAAGGGTAAACCATCAGTATTCTCTGCTTTGCTCTTCTCTATTCCAAAACAGATGCTGTCTTTGCTGCATGGCCTCCCACTTGCCTATTCCACTAACACTGACATTACCTCTCATTACAAAAGGCAGATTCCACGCATCTTAAACAGAAATATTAACTGTAATTTGGTCATTACTCTTAAAGGACCAGGGTAATTCTACTTATGATACATTGTTAAAATGTTCTGAAGTGAAAGATTATAAAGTCCAGTCATTTAAAAAAAAAGTTCATTGTTTTTATTTTAGTTTAAAAATGCTTTAGAAAGCGGAATGAGGTAAAGTAATCCCAAATCCCTAAACTAACTTACCTGAATGACAGCAGGGGTTTGGAGTGATCTAGCTCAGATTTGTCTACGTGAATTCCCAGTGTCGAATCTAATCGGTAGTAATTCAGGATACCTGCTTCGGCTCGGAAACCCTGAAATCCACAGGCAGCAGCTACTTGCTCTGAGAGGAAAGCCAGGTCAGAAGGGAAAGGTGTATAATGATCTGCTGAGTATTTCTTTAACAAAAGTAGGGAAAATAAGAAAAATAAACAATGACCTCAGGAAAATAGAAAACTGTGGTATAAGATTAATTACCACTTAAAAATCATCTAGCTTACATGTTATATTAACATAGCATGATTTATGCATCCATATTTTGAACGGCTCATTATTAGATTACCACATGCCTCAAAATATGGATGGATAAATCATGCTATTCCAGCACTACATCACCTATGCTATAATGAAATAATTACTTTTTGGGGGCTTTGAACCCTCTTCAAGCTATCTATGTATTATTCTTTTTTCTTTTCTTTTTTTTTAAATCCTCACCCAAGGACATTTTTTCCATTGCTTTTCAGAGAGAGTGGAAGGAACAGAGAGAAACATCGATGTAAGAGAGACACATGGATTGGCTGCCTCTAGGTATGTGCCCTTGGCTGAAATTGAACCCAGGACCCTTCTGTCCACAGGGCGATGCTCTAACCACTGAACCAAACAGGGTGATAATTTTCTTATTATTTTCTGATCAGAGTCTCTGATAATTTTCACTCCACATTTTTCTTAGTAAATAAGGCTCACTTTAAGATTCTTGAAGAATAACAATGTCAACAATAAAAATAATAAAAAACAATCAGCTAGCATTTATTGTGTTAATGTTTTTAACTGCTTAGAACAGCCAGGCACTATTGTAATCACTACATAGGCATTAATCACTTAATTATCACAACTACCTTAAGAGGTATTACCCGTTGATGACATAATGCAAACTCATGGCCATTTTCCCAAGTACAGCTACCTAGTTTTCCATTAAATCCGTATCACTGAAAATAAGAACTCTATCATAAATATTTCTGGGTAACACATCATTACTTTGATCAGTTAACATACATGTAAATAGGCTGGGTTGACTGAAACTATAGGGCTTTTAGAAAGTAAATGGTTAAAGCAAGATAGTCTATTCCATTCTGTTTATTCAGTTTACTCTCAGAATTAGTCCTTTTACTTGGTGGCAAGTATCTCATTGAGACAAGAGGCACTGCACTGCCAGTGATAAAGGAGGCATTCTCTGAAGCATAAAGGTCAGGAAAGAAACTGCACCTCAAAAAAACCCACCGTGGAACTCTGATTCTTCCCCATCTCTCTCCTGCTTAGACCTTATATAGCAGGCAAGGTATTTAGATTCAGCAAGTCCTTTTGTTAATTGATGAGAACACTAGAAGTATATGAATCTTTTTTACTCCAGGCAGATATTATGTAGAAAATAAATGCTCAACAAACACTAAACAATAATGGAAATAAAGATCATAACTGACAACTGCCTTGAAACCTACTTAGAGGAAGTACTGATGACTTCCAATAAAATAATACAACATATGAAGAAATTTTCTCTTGATAAATTATCCATGCCTCTTGAGAGACTGTATCAAGGGGATTGTAGGAGGGTATAAATAAAAGAGGTCCTTCCACATATTGGTAATGATATTGTAAGCTTGGCCAGGAAGAAAGTCCATTATATGGGCCCAAGAAGTATAAAAATGGAATTAGCAAGGAAACTCAAATACCTTACTGTCCCAGTTATAATGGTAGCCTAAGGTCACCCACCGCAGTTTCTCTAGTAAGCTTCGAGGTCTCCGTTTATTCCCTTCTTTATATCTGCAAAGATTAGACATGAAGGATTTATTAAGATTAATTCACCTTAAATGGCAGCAATAGCTGTTTGTATGGAACCTAGAGTCTAAATTTGGTATTCCGTGGAATAAGTTGTTATCCAAGACCTTGAAAGGGGAAATTAGAACAGATAAATGTGTCGACAAAGAATATAATATTAAAAAACATGATAGCATTTCTAATTTCTTGTCCTTGGTTCTAAATCCTCTGCTCAATGGGATCTGTTTTAAATAGCAAGTGTCCAGCATCTCAGTGATGATAATGCAAGAATGACAACAGAAATGTCTTTACCTGTCCATGGGAAATGGAACCAAGGGCACTATGGGTAATTGACATTTGGCTAACAGAACATGTTCAATTTGGTCTGCTAAAAGTGGTATATGATTAATCATAGCTATCACTATGTCTATAATGATGGTGGCTTCCCAGAATTGGAAGTTGGGGCAAGTTTGGCAAAACATAGTATACAATCAGTAACGGGGTTAACATGACTTCTTTAACGCTACATAACATAGCTTAGATAACTGAGGCTTAGCTAACTATTAAGGACCACTATAATTTGGTTTCTGACATCCCTTGTTCAAACCCAAGGAGGTTTCTGTAAAACAGAGGCACCCTTCTGCAAATACCTTATCTGATCAAATCCATGGGATTAACTATTTTTTCTAAAGAGTATGCAAGCTTGTTTGTTTGATTTACTTCTAAGTACCTAAAAATATAAGAATGCTAGGTCTAATAATTTTATTTCCCTTTTTCTATTTAATTTATATCATTAATCAATCAAAACAATTTTTTTTATTCAAGAACCACTGCTGTTTAAAAAAATTAATCTACTTTAAGGAGTTTGTATTCTGACAGGAGATGACAGCTAAGCATAAGAAGAAATGATGGGAAAATTCAAGGCAGTTTAAAAATCTACTATTAAACTGAACAACACAAGACTTTATGGGCCACTAGAATTAAGGAAAAGGAGAGCTCAAAGTGAGCTGTCTAATCAGTTAAGGTTTCACAGTACAGCTGGGAGTCGAGCACGGCACTGAAGAATAGCCAGCCTTTAAACAGGGAGTGATGCAGTACGATATACAGGCATACAGCATGGGCAGAAGGAGCAAAGGATTTATTAGAGGCTCAGACTCTAAGTGGCACTCGTCTTGATGTCTGACAAAGAGTTTACAGAATAGATGCTATCTGTCCTCACAGAGTTTACATTCTAAGGACACTGTGATACAGACATACATCAAGACCAGTAGCTAAAAGAAATAAAACACACACTAATTTATTTAGGACAGCCATGCAGAAAACAGGCAGAGCAGATCTGACTGCTATCCTTTGAAATGCCTGCTTCTGAGGCTGGCCCTTGGCTGGCTGCTGGAACTTGGATTTTGGAGGTTCACATCATGACTAGAATTGTAGCTCACTGTGCCTAAGTTGTTGGTACAAACAAAACGGTTTAGGTTAAACACCCACTTTCCTTCTGGGAGTCTGCAATTTTGTGTGTGTTAGACAGAGGCTGTGTATGTGACCAGCACTAGTAGAAACCTGGGCACTGAGCTTCCCTGGTAAACAACATATCATAAATCACAACTCGTTGCTGGGGGAATGAAGCCTATCTTGTGTGACTTCACTGGGAGAGCACCCTGGAAGTTTGAGCCTGGTTTTCCCTGGAATTTGCTCCAGGTCCTTTTTCTTGTGCTAATTTTGTTTTCTATTTTTTCACCGTAATAAGTCTTTCCCAGTCGCTTCTCGGCCTTTTGGCTAAGATCAAGTGTAAATCTTTTCCATAAGCACAACTACATCGGAGCCCTGTGAATCCTCCTGGTGAATCACTGAACTTGGCTGTGGTCTTGGGGACCTCTGGTGTAACAGGAAATAGACAACTATTAACAATTTAGGGGAAAAGACACGTAGGCTTAGCCAGTGACTGCAACTAGCAGATGTGAATAGTTATATGTATAACCACCATTCATTATTTAAATTTTGTGTGTAAAAACGAAAATAAATAAATAAATAAATAAATAAATAAATAAATAAAAATGCAATGTAGTTATCAACACAACCTGAATTCTACCAATGTTTCTTCAGCTCAAGGTACAAATAAAAGGACTCCCTGATAATACCCTCAGAAGAAATATTCTATTTTGGTAGCCCTGAGACAGATAAGGACTCCCTGATATTCTCCTCAAAAGAAATATCCTATTTTGGTAGACCTGACACAGAAAAATAAGCATTACCTCTTATTTTGGGACTCGTGAATCTTGTGGTTAATAGTATATAAATGTAATTCTGAAGTTACATAATGACTCTATAGAGGCAATCCATTCTATTTATTCCTCTTTCCAAGATATTATTTAGTACCTAATTCCTTATTTAAAGATAATCTAGCCCTGGCCAGGAAGCTCAGTAGGTTACAGCCACATCCCGATATGCCAAGGTTGTAAGTTCAATCCCCATTAGGCCACGTACAAGAATCAACCAATGGCGCGGCCAGGCGAGGCTCAGCGGTTGAGCATCGACCTAGGATCCAGGAGATCGGGGTTCAATTCCCGGTCAGGGCACATGCCCAGGTTGCGGGCTGCAGCTGATCAATGACTCTCTCATCATTGATGTTTCTTTCTCTCTCTCTCTCCTCCTCCTTTCCTTTCTCTGAAATCAATAAAGATATATTAAAAAATAAAAATTAACAATTAACCAATGAATGCATAAATAAGTGGAATAACAAATTGATGTCTCTCCCCACCCCTTTCTCTCTCAAATCAATAAATTTAAAAAAAAGATAATCTCATATAGCTGAAACTAATACAAAACAATACTGAATATAAAATACAATTGAAAAAATTAAAAAAAAAAAGAAAAAGATAATCTCAAAGCCAGGAGAAAATTCTGAATTTTCATGGATATTGAAGCTATGTTTTTTCAAGGAGGGAGTAAAGGAAGATGTTAAAGTCAGTAGTGTATAAATGGAATCTAGAACTCAACATACATGGTGTCTTGAGTATCTAGATAGCAAAGAGTTGTACAGAAAGCTTTTATAGAACCTGTGTGTACCCCAATTAGTTCCTGCCAAGTGTTTTTCAAACTTTAATGCTCACCAGAATCACCTAGAGGGCTTGTTGAAATTCACATGCTGGGCCCACAACTCTACATTCTGATTCAGCAGGTCTAGGGTAGGGCCTAAGAATGTGCATTTCTACTAAGTTTTCAAGTGATGCTGTTGCTGCTGCTGCCCAGGGGAACCATACTTTGAGAAACACTACTCTAGCCAAAATTTAAAAAACAGCCTGTCTGGGGTGGCTCAGTGGTTGAGCGCCCACCCATGAACCAAGAGGTTGCTGGTTTGATTCGCGGTCAGGGCACATGCCTGGGTCGCGGGCTCAATCCCCAGTTGGCGGCGTGCAGTAGGCAGCTGATAGATGTTTCTCTCTTTCCTTCTCCCTTCCCCTCTCTGTACAATCAATAAAAACATATTTAAAAAACCAAAACAAAAACATTTCCATTTCTTTTAGAACCCATACTATTACATCAAAACCAAACTGATCTGAACAAGTAAAGATAATAACAGCGTAGCTCTGGAAAGAATTCAGGTGATGGTATTTTACTTTTGTTGTTGTTAATCCTTACCTGATATTTTTTCCATTGATTTTTTAGAAACTGGAAGGTAGGGGGAGAGACAGAGAGAAACATCTATGTGAGAGAGACGCATTGCTTGGTTGCCTCTCGCATGGGCCCTGACAGGGGCTGGGGATCAAGCCTGCAACCAAGGTAGGTGCCCTTAGCCGGAATTGAGCCATTCTGTGGGCTACTGCTCTAACCACTGAGAAAGCCGGCCAGGGCTGGTTTAATTTTTTTTTTTTTTTCACTCAGAGCTGATGCTTCCTAGGGCCAGTGGCCTTCTTTTCTGTTTTCCAGATGACTGGATTCACTATAATAAATTCTGTAATAGCACCATAACAACATCTTACAGGAGTAGAAAGGGGAAAGGATTATATCTGCTTCCAGACCAAGGATATCAATAAAAAGGGCTTTCACATATATAAAAATGGATACAAGGCATTTCACAAGCTTACAGAACAAAGTTAAGTTGCTTTATTTAAATTTTTATTTCCTCTTGTCTTATTCTTTAAAATTTTTGATTACGTAATACATTCATGAAATTCAAAAGGTACAAGAAAATATCCATAACTAATTAATTCCATAAATATTTGTTAACTACCATGCACTGAAGAATAAAAACATAGGGCAAGGGGACAAAGAGGGAGGGAAAAGAGGACTGTTATTAATTGAATGGTAAGGGAATCATCTCTCATAAGACGATATTAGAACAAAGGTCTGAAGAAAGCAAGCCACTGGTTAACTAATGGAAAAGCTTTCCAGGTAGAAGAAACAGGTTGTACAAAGAATCTGAGCATGCGTGATGTGTTTAAGGAATAGCATGGATGCCGGTATGGCATAAATGAAAAGGAAGGACAGGAGATGAGATTGGTGAGGTGGCTGGGGGCCCAGATCGTCTAGCCCTTGTAGGCCATGGTAAAGACTTCTGATTTTTTTCTAAGTTAGATTGTGTAACAAAGAATCTGACTGGCCTTTGTCCTTGGTTCTTGGGAGAAAGCTTTTAAATCCTAGGAAGACAAGAATGTCTTTGTTATTCATTGTGGGCCCCAGGACCACACCTGTGTTTATGCTAAAATGACTCATGATGTGGGCTGGTTAAGCTAGAAAGACCAACCATCTGATTAGAGGATTGAGCCTTTTGAGTAGTGATATTTAGCCAGACCTCAGGGGATAGGTGGGGAGCCAGAAATTGAGTTCAATTATGTGACTAATGATTCAGTCAATCATACTTAAGTAGTAAAACCCCAATAAAAACTGAACACTAAGGCCTGGGAAAGGTTCCTGAGAGGGTGACCCATCTTAATTCCATGGGAAGAGGATATGGAAGTTCTACATTCAGGACTCTTCCAGACATTGCCCTATGTGTCCCTTCTTTGGATGGTCCTGATTTGTAACCTTAATTATAAGTATGTTTTCTTGATTTGTGAGTCGTTCAAGAGAGTTACCGAACCTGAGTCATGGGAACTCCCCTAAATTTGTAACCAGTTGGTCAGAAATGTGAGTACTCTGGGGTCTCCTAAACTTTGTGGTTGGTGTCTGAAGTGAGGGCAGTTGGGTTGGGGACCATGTACTTAACCAGTGTTGTCTGTGCTGACTCTGGATGGTTCGCACCAGAGCTGAATTGCGGTACTGCTGGTGAGAAGCTGTAAGAGAGGTGACAGGGTTTCTAAGCTGTGAAAACAGACTGAAGAGGCACAAGAACAGACACAGGGAAATGATGGTGGCTTAGATTAAGGTGGGTGTGATGGAGATGCTGAGAAATTATTTTATTCATTGTAACTGTAGACCCTACTACATTTGCCAGAAGATTGTAAGATTTTTTAGTGGCTGCATTCTACTGCTTGGGTATGTCATGCCTGATTTATCTGATCTCCTGCTGACACTTAGGATGTTTCTCATTTTTCCCCCATTACAAACAAGGCTGCATTGACAATGTTTATACCTATTACTCTTGTGTAAGAATCTCTAGCTACACTATTCACTGACAATAAATTTTGAACAAAACATAGAACTGAGGTGGCCTAATTTTGTGAACAGACCTATTTTTGCTTCTAAGTTCAAGAATTGCTTATTCATTTCCTACTTAAAGTTTCTTTTTCCCTGACTATAGAAACAAAGTTGAAACTGAAAGGATCCTTAGAGGTGCTCTAGTTCAGTGGTTCTCCATGTGGGTGATATTGTAGATAATCAGAATCTATAGGGGAAGCTTATTGAACCACAGACCCTCTCTCTTTCCAGTATGCTCTGGGAACGTGGGGGAAGCTGGCATTACTGTCCAGCTGGCATGATTCTACCACCTCAAATGGCTTATCCTGTGAATCCCTTTGTTTCTCACATGGGGAAATAAACTCATATCAGGCAGCGACAGAAGAACTCGGGCCCTAATCAATTTTCAATGCTCCCTGCAATGTCTGAGCTTATCAATTTCTTCCAACCCTTGACAACAGACAATATGACTTGAATTTTTTATTTTTGATAATTTAGGCAAAAAAACCCACCAATCTCACCATTGTTTAAAGGGTGACTTATTAGAGATTCATCTGACCTATCTTAGAAGATGAAAACTGAAATTTCTGAGTCATTTGTCGAAAGGGAAAAAAATTAATTACCTGAAAACACAAGCTGGTTTAATTACAAACTCTAAGTTCTCTTTGACTATTTTCACTCAAACTGTACCATTAGAGCCACTAAGTCCAAACAGAACACATAGAACTGGTATAATGTTTTTAAGAGACTGTTTTAAGGGTTTCTCACACACTATCTTATTTAATACACTATCAAATGAGGAAAGGACTACTATGAGACATAGAAAGGTTAAGAAACTTGCTCAAATTTACACAGCTTTTAAGTGGTAGAGCTGGGATCTGAATCCAGCAATCTGACTCTAGAACTAGTAGTCTACACAGCACTAAACCCTTTATAGTCTGGCCCTAAGCTATCCTTCCTGCTACACCTCTTGCCAATTCTATTCATGACTTCCAGGAAGCATTTTCCATAATCTACCTCCAATCTAGCTAGCAAAATGACCTGCCAAACTGTATTATATGGTTATGTCTCTGTCCTTGACTAACCTACTAATTCCTGAAATGCAGAAACAGTCTCTTATCTGTCTTTGAATCTTGAACACTCAAACGCAGTATCTGATACATAGCCAAAACTCAATAATTATTGAATAAATATATGTATGCACACATCCTGTGCACCTATCTCACAGAACTTACTGTTTTAAATATTATCTCTTTGCTCAGGCTGCTTTCTCTACCCAAAACAGTGTTTTTGCTTTTCTGACTGGCAAACACCCTAATCATTTTCAAAAATATGTTTTTATTGATTTTAGAGAGAGAAGGGAGAGGAAGAGAGACACAGAAAGAAACATCAACAAGAAAGAAGCATTGATCAGCTGTCTCCTGCATGCCCCCTACTGGGGATCAAGCCTACAACCTGGGCATGTGCTCTGATCCAGAATTGAACTGGGACCTCTTGGTGCACAAAAGGAAGCTCAACCAACTGAGCCGCACTGGTCGGGCTCCTAATCATCTCTGAAGACCCAGTTCAAATAGACAGAGGAAAAAAAGAGGAAAATGAACTTAATTAAAAAATCATTTTTTCTTCTTTGACACCTCCTGCCTGCCTGAAAGAATTATTTCTTTCTCTGGCCACCACAGCATTTTTCTTGCTGAGCTCTATTGTAATTACTCCTGTTGATATTGAGTTCCTGCCATAGACTATGCACTCCTAAGTGCAGGAACAGTGGCCCACTTATCTTTTTATCACCAATGCTCAGCATCATACCTGGTACACAGCTGACCCACAAGAAATATTTGTGGAATGAATGAATGTTAAAACAACATTAAGGTACCAATGTTAGTTCTCATGAAGAACAACTGACCTACCGTAAAACAGCTATTAGAACTGACTTTGTTTAGGAGGGCAGAAGTAAAGAGCTTTCAGTTTTACTTTTTGCTAGGATATCACAAGTCTTCAAAGGAACTCACTTTAAGTAGAAAACAGGACTGAAGCTGAATGAAAATGGATCATCTGATGATTAATGAGGATGAACTTGATATCTAAGCTACGATTAGCAAATCTTTAAAATAGATCTCAATTTAATATAACTGTCAAAGCATCTGTCCAAATGTTCCAGGGGGAAAGAATATAACTGTGCTGCATTTGCATGGAAACAAGGAAAAAATAAACAAGTCCGTTACTTTCACTGCACTGTTATGGAATAGTTCCTTCAAAGATCTATGATGACCTGAGCTGAATACTAACAATCTTACTAGGATTGATAAAACCTACCTTAGAAACTCTTTGCTCTGTTCCCACAGATCTTGGGTCTCTTCTTTAGTCATGTGTTTGTCCAGGTTACATACATTAGGTTTCTGGGAATATAACTTAAGGCACTGCTTCACCCAGTGCCACTGGTAACCAGGGAGGAAGGGATTTGGGATGAAAATAAATCCTACACAAAAGATGGATGGGAAAGAAAGGAGAGAATGAAATTCTCCATCAGTTATTCAGATAGTTTACTTCTGTTGACTTCCCTTTACCTTTAATATTTACTCCCCATCTTCTTTTGCTCATGCTTTCAGTGGCTTACACACTTATAAGCAAATGTTCTCATTCCCACTGTCCAATTTTAGAGGAGGAGTTCCTTCAAGTTAGTAAAAAGTTTGATGAACACTAGACATCTACCACTATGCAAGTATCTTTTTGGCTTTTGTGTTTTTCTCAAGAGAAACAAACATTCCACAACTATCAACTGTTACCCCAAAGCAAACTTCAGAAGTGAAACAGCCAAAAGTCACCCCTCAAATTTTCACCAGGTGTCATCATGTATAGAGGTGGTGGCTGCTTCCTGCAGTTACCACCTTTGATATTTCAGTGTGCCCTTTGTGCCTTTTCCATTTTCTGGCTAACAATTCTATAAATTATCAGTTAAAATAATTGATGTGATTTCTGCCTCCTGACTAAAATAACACGGAAGGAAAATGGTATGTACATCTGCTTAGTCTGGCCTGATGCAAATACCTACAACATGTGTGCTGAAAAGATCCTAGTGACGTGAAAGTGATCTAATCCCATTTTCTCCTTTGTAATAGAGGAATAACAGCATTTAACTAGGATCCTATGCAGGGCAAGGATTAATTCATCAAACATTCAACACACACAATGTACTTTCTTAAGGATTAAAGAGATGAAAAACTGTCCAGCCAGTTGGCTCAGCGGTTGAGCATCGACCTAGGATCCAGGAGATTGATGTTTGATTCCCAGCCAGGGCACATGCCTGGTTTTCGGGCTCAACCCCCAGCAGGGGGTGTGCAGGAGGCAGCCGATCGATGTCTCTCTCTCATCATTGATGTTTCTCTCTCTCTCTTCCTCTCCCCCCCCTTCCTCTCTGAAATCAATAAGAACATATATAAAAAAAAATAAAAGAGATGAAAAACTGTCTTTCATAAAATACCTGGAGATAAGACAGTAGATAAGAGCTATACAGATAAAGTCTTTCATTCATTTATTTTTTAATTTTAACTTTTAAATTGAATTTACCAGGGTGACATTGATTAATAAATTTATATAGGTTTCAGGTATACAATTCTATCATACATCAATTGTATGTTGTATTGTGTGTTTACCATCCCAAGTCAAGTCTCCTTCTATCAACATTTATCCTTCAAGAACAAAATGTGATTAAAATACTTGGTGATCCATGCTCCTTATTTACCTAAACTCATACAGAGCAATGCTTTCATATATAAAGTCCATCATTTGACTGTTCCCTTTGTGATTTCAGTCATAAGATCAGTCTTTAGTTCTGTAATATAGAACTAAAGTTCATGAGGCCTTTTTAGGAAGTATTAAAATTGTTACACCTTCCCTCCCTGGCAAGGGTGGCTCAGTTGGCTGGAGTGCTGTCCTGTACACTGAAAGGTCACAGGTTTGATTCCCAGTCAGGGCACATATCTAGGTTGAGGGTTCGGTCCCCGGTTGGGGCAGGAAGCAACTGATTTATGTTCCTCTCTCACATCAATGTTTCTCTCTCTCACGAAATCAATAAACATATTAAAAACCCCAAAATCATTATTAAGAAAAAAAAGCTGTTACACCTTCCAATGTTACTAACAAATACTTCAGTGGTCATACTATATTAAGAGCTGTAACACAGACCTGGCCCTTGGCACAACAAAAATTAATATTTCTTTTTAGGGGTATCTCTTGCTTTTAATCCATATTTGAAATCATTAATGCAATGTAATTTTATGTCCTCTAAAAAAAAGCAGGATGACAGATATAAGCTTATTTGGCCAAATAAAGCACTTCCATATATTCTGAATAGTTCACAATAAATCTCATTAAAATATTAGTATTATATTATTTTAAATATTATTTTAAAAATACTTTTAAATTAAGTTATTACATATTAATATTAAACAATAATTACAATGGCCCCATGAGCCTAGAAACAAGGTTAGTAACATTACCCACTCTTCATTATTACCTTAATATATCTGCAAAGTGAGCTACCCAATATCTCTAAAACTTCAGGACTTTTGATCTCATTAACTAATTCTTTTTCAAATGTTCAGCCTTGATCATACCAATAATTTTTAAGTTGTTATGCCATTTGAGAATACAGGGATTTTGTGACTGGAGTGACGATTATGAATTATTCTATTCTTCTGCTAGAGTAGGTGTGTGTTTAGAGAGTTGCGGCAGGGAGCCGAGTCAATGTCCTAGTTTTTTATTTGTACCTGGCGTGCTACTTTCTGCAATATAAGCAACACTAGTGACCCTGTTCTGTCCTTTGGGAGTGCTAAATAAATGGAAATCTTAGCTGAGGCAGAATTTAGGAGGGGTTGGAGAGTGGAACATTTCTGTGTGTTTGCTTTTCTTCTTTTGTCTATTTTCTAGCTCCTCTTCTGAAATTAGACAAATGATTGATTTTACCTTCTAGGTAAGCTGCACTCACCAGGATAGCCTTCAAGTCCATAAGCTTGCCACTTGCTGACTGGCTGAAGTCCTGCTCTATGTGCATCATGGTCACTGATTGAGGACACACTCAGCTGAGATCTGACCACCTGGCAGGAAGAAAACAAGTCAGAGGGCTAAAGTTATTTTACAGGTCAAGTCTGAGAATCTCAAAGCTCTAAAGACATTTCTGGTATGGGGCAAAGTTAGGAGTCATAAGCCTGAGGTCCTAAACTTAGTCCCATCACTTACTTGATATAAGACTTAGGTAAGTCATTTAACTTCATAGATCCTCAGTTTCCTCATTCATATACTAACAAACACTAGAGAGCTATATAGAATTAAGATAAGTAATAATGAGAAGCCAGCTGATTTTGGCCTTAAAGACTATCTTTTCTTATGGTACCACACCTTTGTGATTTCTTTTAGCTCTGATCCTGAAAGGTGTCTGGTGTTCTGGAATACCCTGAGTCACAATGCTGTTTACTTCGGTTAGGGCTAATAATAATGCTTCTGAGGCATTTGTACACAGTTGGTGTTTAAACAGAGATATGGGGAAAAAGGAGCTGGGGAGGGTGAGAGAATGGAAAGAGAGCACTAGCTATATAAAAACAGTGTATTAATAATATATTAGGAACTCTGTTTGCTAAAAGTATAGTATTTGCTCTCTTTTAGATAAAACTTCAAATTGAAACCCAGAACATCTTACCTTTATTAATTAGGAATTAAGTTTTTCAGAAGCTCAAAAAAGTTTTATTTGCATGTAGAGCATCTTATGGGTGGCTCATTAAATTGGTTAAGAGAGCCAATACACAGTCACCAAAGTAAGGACATTTAGAAAAAAACCAAAACTTCAATCTTTCATGAATAAACTTAGGGTCTGGCTTGCCTTAAAATACATCAAATGTTCTCTTCCAAAAAGATATCATCTCTCGTCCTATTAACTTTACCAAGTGTGGAGATTTTGACAAAACACCAAGTGGCTGGTATATAACCAGTCTGTATAATGAAATGGCTATCTGGACACTCTGATAGTCCTGACCAAGCTAACTTTTCCAGATACCTAGAGGCTGATAACATGTTTTTAAACATTTTGTGATGATTTCTTAAATACACCATACTTAATAGTGCACTGTAATTCAGCAACGCCCTCAAGAACCTAATCTGTCATATGCTAAACTGAATCAAACCCTGAACTTTTAAAGTTTTTCTGTTGCTTCCCCTGCCAAACTGTTGCCATCACTTCCTCCGTTGCTCTCATTAGGTGTCTTTTAATAGTAACTTTCTTCTCTAATTTGCTACTTTCAATCTGTTTTGAGCCTGGTAACTAAATACCAAAGTTTTTATGTATTCAAGTATTATATTGAGTACTTATGTTTTAGTATGTGCTAGAGACAACGTCCCCTTCTCAGGTGACTTACGTTCTAAAAGTATGTAAGTATTAAGGTAAAGTGTGGGTAAAAGTAGCTGAATAAGGGCCTGAGGGGCTCTCCCATGAATCAAGTGTATTATTCTTGGGGTGCAAACTTTCTGTATGTTATTTTGACAATTCTAAAACCACTTCTGCTAACTAAGTTTCTTAGGAAGCTGAGCTCTAGACAAATACGGTGATTATCATGGCATTCCAATTTGATCGAGAACTATTACTGAGCTTAGAAAGAATCCCTCATCCAGCAATCCGTGGACAATACCAAGGGCAAATTAAGGGATCAGGTATCCGCAGTGTTAAAGTAACTGTAAAAAAAAAATACATTACACTACAGTTGTGTTTCTCCCTGTGACCCCTGCGCCCCATGTCACTTTTCTTCATTTTCATGGTGAAAGTAGAAACAATGGGTGAAGCTTGGCTTTGTTAGCCCTTTACTTTCAACTTGGAGAGATTACCTCAGAATCTTTCAACGCCTTCTTTCTAGAAGGCTCAGACAAGGCCGGTACCAGTTTTATGGACAAGAGCTTAACAACATCGGTCCCTCTCAGTTCTGGGATTACGCAGATACTTGGCTCTTCCAAGCTGCGGAGCGCTACCCTAACGTCTACGAATACGGTTTACGGTTTTTACAACACAGATCGAAGTAGAAATGTAAGTGGAAAGTTAATGGCGGGAATAAATATCAATTCCTATACATTTTTTGACCGCGGGCGCCACCAGGAAGGGCCGCGTGGAGAAACCAGCAGCAGAGCCCTTCATCGCCAAAGTGCGACGTTTCGTGGGCAGTTCAATTCCGTGCCCATGGAGGGACGGGATCGCTTAGGAACAGTCAGTCTGGAAGCGAAAAGAGGTGAGGGGGACGTTGAAACCCCTCCAGGAAGCGAGGCAGGACGTCCGGGAGGCGCGCGCCGCTCCTCTCCCGTACCTTGTGGGCCCCGGGCCCCGCGCCGCGCTGGGCCGCCGAGAAGTCGATGACCCCTCCCAGGTCTGCGGTTCCGGGGCGGCTCTGCCGGTAGAAGCGGAAAAGCTTCCGAAAGGCGTCCTCCCCCGGCTCGGTCGCCAGCGTAACCACGGAGCCCAAGGCCGCCGCCATCTTCCCCATTTCGCCGCCGGGCCTTCTCTGACCCGGAAGCAGATTCCCGTGCTCCGGCTCCGGCAGGCTTTTCCGGGGTCGCGACCTCAGGTCACCGAGTTCCCTCAATCTAAAGATGGCGGCTTCGGCTGCGAGGGGAGCTATGGCTCTGCGGGCGAGTGCTGTCCGGCCAGTAGCTTTTGTCAGAAGAATTCCCTGGACAGCCGCTTCGAGTGAGTGATGGAGACGTAGCAGCAGGACGGGACTTTGAGGTCCCAGCGATCCTCAAGGGCTCTGCTTTCTGCTGGGCACATCAGTCAGCGTGGTGGCTGGATTAGAAGGCTGGGTTTGCATTGTGTTCACCAATGAGCAGAAATTTTGTTTGCAATTAATCGTTTAGAGATGTCCCTTGAGCTTTTGGGGCATGTATTTACGATGTTTTTCAGGGTAATTTGATGGAAAGGCTATTACTCGGAAACTTTAAGATTTACTGTTTAGAAGGAATATTTTGATTGCGTCGTGGGGGATGAATTAAAAAATGGCAAGATTGGAGGCGAGGAGACGAATTAAAAGGCAATTTCAGTAATTTAGTTCAAAGATGAGGACCTGAACTAGATCCATTTACGTTAACGATACGAAATCGACAGCTCTTCGTGATGGCTTGATAGGCGGTAGAGCATTGAATGAGGGCAAGGGAGGGATGACTTCCAGGTTTTTAGCGTTGGTGAAGTTTGTGGTTAGAATGTAGGAGAAGCAGGTCGAAAGGAGATGAGTAAAGTTTAAATGCGTTGTTTGAAAAACCTGTAAGGTCTTAGTCAGGCACTTGGACAGAGGAGGTTGTGTATCACTGATTGAGAATTGTGCTCAGAAGCCATACAGCTCCGGCTAGAACTGCATCCTGGCCGTGTAATAGTTGTGTAACCTGACTAACGAAGGTAATTTGGGTAAAGGGCTCACCACTGTGCTTCAATTTCATCATCTATAAAATGGAGTCCATAAAACCTTCATAAGATTGTTGATTGGATTAAGTGAGTTTATGTGTAAACTGCTTAGGCTTGTGCTAGATACAGAGTAAGTACTAAATAATTGAGTTGTTTTAATGACTACTAAAATTGAAGCTCCTGGAAAAGGTATAGGCTGGAGATAGAGGGTTGGGAGTAATCAGTACTGAAATCTCTCACCAACATTGGTTTTTGTCAGCTGCTCTTTTGAGGTAAGGTTTTTACCTTTGGTAAGCAGTTTTACAATTTGCATTTTTACGATTTAAAATTTGACATTTGCTTATGGTCACTTGTATAGATAACCCGTGCATCAGGTCAGTTCCCTTAAACAGTAGAACAGGGGTTATGCTTCTCTTAGATTTTGTGACCTAGGTTTGATAGTAGGATGGGAGGTAGATCAGTTTGTGTCCCGCCTTGTCAGTATGTTAGGGGTAAAGACCAAGCCCAGTAAAATGTCTTGCTTAGGCCCTGTGAAACTGTGGAAAGGGTTTCTTCAGTATCTTGCAAATGTAAGATTCTAGATCATAATGGGCTGATTTAAAACCCTCCGAGTGAGTCTGTATAACATTCAGCTTTGAAATAGTCTCATTCAGGTCATTCATTCAGCAAATATTCAAGGAGTGTCTATTATGTGGTAGGCATTGTTCCCGGTGCTTGTAGCTGTTTTTTCATAAAAATTGTAGATAATTTGGGGAAAGGGTTACCTTCCAGAGCTAGTTTGTTTTGAAAGTGAATGTTTTCTAAAACTTTAACACCTGGTTTAAAATGTGTATTTAACACTATTTTGTTTATCCTGCGGTAACATGTTCTGTGAGATTCTGATCTTGCCAACTGGCTTAGCCCGCTGTTAGAGCTCTTAATAAGTTTAGTCCCTGTGAGTTGTTGAAGGATTACTGGGTGTTTTTTCATTTAGCAAATATTTCCCGACTGTGGATCAACCACTGTGGACATAGTGGACTTAACACTCAGGAGCTTACACTGTAGTGGTAGAGGCTGAGGAGACTTACAAACAACAAATGTAGGCAGTTGTTGAACCAATGAGGTTAAATGAACTGGGGGAAATAAGCAAATAATATGAATACAAATCAGATGGTACAAGCACTGTAGTTCAGGAGAGAAAAAGATCATATTTTTTGGTCTTTAACATTATCCACTGTTCATCTTTGAGCCCTCATAGGGCTACTACTGTATGTTGTCTTGTATTGCAGAAGAAGCCCAAAAAAATATTCAGTGGATGTATTTGGCCTGGGTCTTGAAGGATAGGTACAGTTTAGGCAGGAGGAGATAGGATTACTGACATGTCAAGGAGAAAGAATGACATGCAAATATGGGAATCTACAGGATGCGTACACAGAATTTCATTTGCTGTACAGTAATGGGAAATAAGGCAGGAAGAGTAGGTAGGGTCAACTCAACAAATTTTAGAAAACCAACTATTTAACTTAGTGTAAACTTTTAATTATGAAAGGCAAGTAAATTGAGATTTTCTTTGGAAATCTCTGTATTGTAATTGTCGTTTATGTGATCTTCTCATGGGGATTATAATCCACGCACCTGGTACAGTACCTGGTATGATGAAGACACTCAATATTTGCTGGGGATGAATACTAGTGTCAACTCAGCAATTTATCGTTACATTACGTTACATTACAGCTTCATAGTGCATACCTTAGCTGCCTCCTAAATCTTAAGGCTTCAGGAAATGCCAAGTAGCTCCTGTTCACAAGAAGTTCGGGGGTTCCAAGACACCTTTTTCTTTCTATCTACAATCTAGGATGGAGGATACAAAATGCATTAACTACTTTTAATGTTTTCTCTTCCTATACAGGTGAGCTGAGAGAACACTTTGCACAATTTGGCCATGTACGAAAGTGCACTGTACCTTTTGTGAGTTATGGTTTTTTTTTTTTTTGTTAAAGCATATCAGCTTACTTGTATGTCTAATGGAGTGAAGCTGTTCATTCTTTGTTGATAAAATTTGAGTGATTCTGATTATAAAGTAAAAAACCCCACTTATCCTAGTCCAGCCGGTTTGGCTCAGTGATCGGAGTGTCGGCCCTCGGACCGAATGGTCTTGGGTTCCACGTACCTTGGTTGCAGGCTTGGTGCTCTGGTTGGGGCACTTCCAGGAGGCAAGCAATCGATGTCTCTCTCTTTTCCTCTCCTTCCACTCTCTGAAAAGCAATGGAAAAAAATACCCTCGGGTGAGGATTAACCCCCCCCCCCCAAAACCTTATCCTAGGCATTTGTGCTAGTTTTTTATTGTTGCATAACAAATTACCACAAACTTAGTGGTTCAAAATGTGTATGATCGCTGTTTCTATAAATCAGGATTCTGGGCACAGCCTAGCTGGGTCCTCTGCTCAGGGTCTGCATAGCTGCAATCAGTGTGTCAGCTGGGGCTTTGGTCTCATTAGAGGCTCAACTAGAGGGAGATTGATTTCCAAGCTCCTACAGGTTTTTGGCAGTTGTCTATCGTCTTTTAACTATAGGACTGAGATATCTTTCTTGCTGGCTTTCAGCTGGAGGTTGCTCTCAGATCCTAGGGACTACCTGCAGTTTCTTGTTATCTGGCTTCTCCGTAGGCTATTTCCCAGCATGACAGCTTGCTTCCTCAAAGTCAGCAGGGGAGTTTCTCTAGTCTGCTAAGACAGTCTTATAACATAGTCATGGAAGTGACACCCCATCACGGTTGCCATCTAACCTGATCAAGTGAGCAGTGTCCCATCATTTGCCATATATTCTTTTGGTTAGAAGAATGTCACAGGTCTCCTACCAACACACACACACGCAAGGGGAGGGGATTATACAGGGAGTAACGTGGTGGGACACCTGGATATCATGAGGCCATCTTAGAATTCTGCTTACTACAGTATTATATAATAATGACTTGAGATTGTAGAGGATAGTTTATCATAAAACTAGTTGGTGGAGCCCAGCCAGGCGTGGCTCAGCGGTTGAGCATCGACCTAGGATCCAGGAGATTGGAGTTCGATTCCAGGTCAGGGCACATGCCCGGGTTGCGGGCTAGGCAGCCGATCAATGACCCTCTCATCATTGATGTTTCTCTCTCTCCCCCCTTCCTTTCCTCTCTCTGAAATCAATAAAGATTTTTTTTTTAAAAAAAAACCAAAAAAAACTCATTGGTGGAGAATATTTTAACTTTTATCCTCATTAAGTTGGGTACTTCTTTTAAAAAGTGTTTTCATATTTATTACCTTTCCTTTCCTTTCTCATGATGGTTTAGAAATCAATTATTGTTTTTAGCAGGGGATAATGGTAGTTGTGGTGATGAGGGTTATTGGTTTCAGAAATTACCAGAAATATAACAGGGTTCTGAAGCTTAAATTTTGTTTCTAGGAGTGAGGAAGTTAGAAACAGGAGAGTACTTCTTTATGTGATCAAAATTTCCCTCGACTATTGCTGTTACTGTGGTTTGTATCTAGAATGGCACAGGAAGCTCATTCTCATATTTTACTTTCCCATCGGCAGCAGAAAAGCAGAACGTTAAGGTTAACATAGGGATTAGGCTTTGGGTAACTAGGAGAGTGAATATGTGTTAAAGCAAGGTTTTTTACATTCTTTGCAATATCTGTTATCCCATTTTGGCAAATGAAAAAGTTGGTAGTTTGATTTGGAGCTTATGGAAACTTTCTCAAGTTCATGATTATTTTCCTAAATTTCCAATTTTTAGGACAGAGAGACTGGCTTTCACAGAGGACTGGGTTGGATCCAATTTTCTTCAGAAGAAGAACTTCAGAATGCACTACAGCAGGACAGTCATGTTATTGATGGAGTAAAGGTAGGTATTTTTCTATATCATATCATGAACTTTCTGCATATCAATTAAATCAATCAGAAGTGTGGAATAAAGGATTTGGAGAGATTTGTTAAAGAATAGTGGTGGTATAGTGCCCAGTTCTAAAAGGTCTGGGGAGCGAAGTAAAGGAAGACCCTGTACTGGTTAGCAAGCATATGTAATACCAAGCAGTGGAAACAGCAGTCTTCTTACCAGTTAGGGGTTGAAATCCTGGCTTTTCTACTTAATGTGTGACCTTGGGTCAAACTGATTTACAGTTTTTAATTGAAATTCAGGGAGTATTATGAACAAAGAACATCCTCTTGACTTATTGGTGCTGCCTCCCTAATAAAAAGGCAGTCTTAAGGTGGCAATTTCAGTTTTAATGTTTTTGCAGACATTGCATTTCTTTACAGTGCTTATTTGATTTTTTTCAGGTCCACGTTCAAGCTCAGAAACGAAAAGTTTTGCAAGGGGATCAGACATCTGATGAAGAGAAAGATTTTTGAGACTATTACTGCCTATCAAATAATGGAACAAAGCTGAAAATTTTGTCTAAATGTTTTTATTTGAAACAAATAGGTGCACCAAGCAAGCGCTTACTTTTCCCCACTCCAAATTAAAGCAGAGCACAGAGGGGCAAACATCATTTGGCAGGACAGTTCCAATATGTGAACATCCTTCTACTCGCTGTGGTTGGGGTAACTTTACTCATAAGCAGTCATTCTTACACAAAATGTTAACCCCAAAGTACTAATGTCAAACAAAAGGAAGTGGTCTTAATTTCATGTATGGGGGGCAGTATGTTCTATAAATGCCAAAAGGTGAGAGAAGCACAAACACAACCCACTCTTTAAAAAAAACTAAATAGTTCAAAGTAGAATTTTCCATCCCCCCTTTCTGCTGTAATAAAAAGTAGTGCTGGGGTCTGACACCCAGATTTGGTTTTTATCTGGCCCATTTACAAAGTGTTTGCCCATATGACTTGCATCATTAGGGTTATGGATAATAGTCCATTCACTGTGAAGAGAGGTGTATCTACTCCTTCCTCCTCTTCTTGCCTTCATGCTCATGTTCCTTGGGGCGGCTGCTATCTGAGGGTCTTTTAGAGCCACCGTGCTGTTTGGCTTCTTCCAAAAACTTGTCCAAACCAAAAGGATCTTCCTCAAACTGAACTGGTCCTTCTCGACCTCTTTGCCTACGGTCTGAACCAGAAAACTCCTTATCGGGAACAAATCTAGGGAAAAAGAGAAAGGACTGTATTATAAACTACTTTGTTTTCACTGGTGCAAACACTGAAACTGAGCTATTTGCTTGGTACCTGTTGTTCTTTATTCTGGCTTCTAGGTCATCACCATACATGTCCTTATCCAGATTTTTACTGGGCCTGTAAATATTCTGGGCCATATCTTTACCACCTCTCCAGGCTTGATCATAAACATTGTAAATTTCATCTTCTCCACCTGCAAAACCACTGTCCATACCCTGTGGAAAAATAGAGGACATTAAAAATATACATATTATTCATTAAAAGTTGAATCTGACTACATTCATGTGAAGAGTACATTCATGTGAATCTGACTACATTTATAGCTCACATTTTCAACAATCTGAACTCAAAAAGATCTTCATAAAAAAACAAAGTCCATAAACTTGTTCATATCACCTTCCGGTCTTAGATTAAATACTCATTAACAAGTCTGACGACTACTTCAGCATAGTAGTCATATAAGCACGTACTTGACCATTTCAATTCATATAGACACAGTGGCAAGATGATAAAAGAACTGTAAAACTGATGCCATTTTGAGTAATAATATACCCCTTAACTGCCTATCATTATAACATCAGAAAATAGGGCTCTTAATGAAAATCTTAAATCAACAACAAACTTGTTTCATATATTTAGAAAATTTTTTCATCACAACATTTAAGTGATTTAAGCCTACCCTTGTAAAAGGTGACTCTGAAATAGTTACTTATGTGGAACTTTCATGCCTAACCCCCTTTGCTCAGACTGGTAAGATGCCATTGCATAGTGTTTAAGAACACAAGCTTTGGAATCAAGACAGCCCATGTTTGAAATCTGAGTTCCCTTAGTTACTAGCTAAACCTCTATGTGTCACAATTTCCTCATCTTTACAGATAATAGTGTGATCTCCAAGGGTTTCTGTAAGAAGTAAGATAATACAAGCAAAAACTTAGAACAATGCCAGGAACATAAAAAACACCCAGTAACTTATTAACTAGAAGAGCTTACTCAAATGCTACCTTCAGATCTTAAAACCTCCGTCATAATTAACTTTTCCCCCTCTATATCCCAGTAGAATTTATACTTCTATATTCTTACCAGTCTGCCTTGTCTTTATTTATATACATATATCTGTCTTTTCTAGTAGACTTGAGGATTCTTTGAGGGCAAAGGCAAAGGTAGGTTTTTTTTTCATGTTTTGTGGACAGAAAGACACCTTGCTTTTAAAAAATTTTTATTTTTGCGCGGCAGGGCATGGCTCAGTGGTTGAGCATCAACCTAGGATCCAGGAGACGGAGGTTTGATTCCCGGTCAGGGCACATGCCCTGGCTGTGGGCTCAATCCCCGGTCAGGGGTGTGCAGGAGGCAGCCGATCAATGACTCTCTCATCACTGATGTTTCTATCTCCCTCTTCCTCTCTCTCTGAAATCAATAAAGACATTTAAAAAAAAAAAATTTTTTTTTAAATTTTTTACTTAATCCTCACCAGAGGATATGTTTTTGATTTTTAGAGAAAGAGGAAGGAAGAGAGAGGGGGTGGGAGAAGAGAAACACTGATGTGAGAAACACTGATCGGCTGCCACCCATACACACCCCAACCAGGGATCAAACCAGCAACCTTTTGGTGTACAGGACAATATTCCCATCAACTGAGCCACCCGGCCATGACCAGAACCAAGTTTCATAACCTAATTTCTTTCATTTTTCTACTAGTGTCTCAAATTTTGGCCAACAGTAAAAGGTCAAAATCAGAGCTGTTTCATCTTACTTGTCTCATAACATGCAACTGCCAATTTTTTCCTGTCATCATGCCAGCATACCTTAGGTTGATCCAAATCTATGATATGTTCATTTTCTTTTTCCTGAGGATCGGTATTCATAGCAACACTTAAGAAAGAAAATGCTTTTTCTACTGTACCTTGGATTGGTTAAACAGCCTTTGGTCATACTGAACTTCATTGGAAGTCCGAGGATTGGGCACACCAAGAGCAATGACCTCACTGATATCTCGATTTTCATTTCTCTGCAGTTTCGACCTGTTTTGAAATACAATGTCACTAACTGAAAACTCTTTACAGGCAAGATGAATTTCAATTTTAAAAATACAACCAATCTCAGAAGCAAAGGAAATGAGTATGTCCTGTTAATATCTTGTGAACATATATTCCCTGATAACGCATAATCGGTTGGCAGCCCTTACAGCATTTCAGCTAGATGATTATTAGAAGAGGTAGGATTTTATAATTAGGCCCTCCTGTTAGCTGAAAGGAATTGCTAAGAGACTCACTCTTGGCACTGAAGTCTTTAATACAAACAATCACCTTACAATACATGCTGAGATGTGAAGTTGCTCTGGTCTATCTTTGCTATTATTAAATGAGGATGGGGGTTCTGGATACAAATTAGATGTATCACACGAATCATTTTCAATAAGCTAGAATTAGTTTTTTTTACCTAACCACATTTAGTAATTTTATCCTATTAGAATTTTGAGGAAAACACATCAATGACTGGACTACTCATTATGATTTTTGACATTCAGATTAATTCCCTTGCTGTTTCAGTATGTAATGCAATCTACATTGCAATGAAACCATGGTAACTGTCATCATTTATTTTGCTAGAAGCTCAGGTCTTAAAATGATTTCTGTAGACAATCTGATTTTCATCCAATCACAAGTTTACAGCTTTTCTGTTATCAATTTTCATAGCCATTTTATTGGTCCAATTTATGTATAGAGCTATTTTGATTTTTATAGCTTAGGAATTTCAGACCAAAAGTACATTAACTGCACGCTTTCACACTTCATTCCTCCTTCTTCTATACTGTACATTTACCCACAAGTCTAAATTCAGATTTTCTGCTTTTCCATGACTCCACTTATCCATAGAGATGAAATATGCCATTAAACAACAAAGAACACCACCAGCAGGAATCTTCTTTTTCATGTTTAAGATATGAATTGAAAAAATGGATTGTATCAGCTTGTAGTATGATGAGAGCCTTGAAAACTCATTTGGAAAGAAAATGTTTTATATTTGCATTTAACCCTCATTCAGAATTTCAACCTCCCTATTACAGCATTTCCTCAACTTTTCAGCAATTTCAGTCCTCAGCTTTTGGTGAACCACAAACTTCACCAATCCCTACTTTATTCCAAGTTTGTTCTATTCAAGTCTCTATGCATTAAGAGTGCTTTGATTGTATGTCAACTGTATTTTTATTTTACACAAAGTGTTTTGTTAATTTTCCCAATTCGTTTATATAATAGCTCCCCTTTCTGAATTTTAAGTGAAACTACTCATGAGAAGAGGCCGATTTTCACTTCTCACAAAACCTGCTTGTCTCCACAACTATACTTCATAGAGTGCTCTGCATGTAAAAGGATCTCAGTAAAGGTATTGCAGCTTATTTCCTGTCTAGAGGAACAGGCACATAATAAATTTGTCTCACCATTTGGAATTGGAAAAGAACAGACCAGAACAGTCCTATCCATTACCTTCTTTTCACAAACATGATCTGAATTTTCTTTTCTATATTCCCATCATTCTCAATTCTAGCTGACTCTACAAGGCAATGGAAGCAAAGATTACTTCCACAGATAGTCAATTCTTCTTCTAAGACAAGGTAAGTAGTTAAGTGCAAGAAAATAAGTGTTGATTTATTAAGTTACCAAACTAGGGAGAAGTAAAACTGGTATTAATGGACTAAACCTCCTCTCTAAAAGGTTCACAAAGGCCAGTCTTCATAATTCATATTTATCTCAAATACTACCTACCTCTTATCAGGAGCTGCCCTGGAAAGATTCCGGTCATGCTGTCTCTCTTTCCGCCTGTCATGCCGAATTTCATCCCTCTCACGCGCCTCCCCATCCTCTGTGTGGAAAGAGTTGAAAATTACTTCATCACTACATTATCCATTAATATTTTGAACAAGCAAATATAATCTTTAACCTTAGACAATTCCATGAACTTCATTGTCACATTCAGCCCTTTTAACTTTACTTGCAAGTAACTTAAATCCAATAGTATTGGTTTAATTTTTGAATGTGAATTCCAGAATCATGCATGCAGCTTAAGTATTTAGGGGTAAAGTGTACTGATGTTTTTAACTTACTTTGAAATGCATCAAAGTAGTAAGGTGGACTGAAAGATAAAGAGTTGGTAGATACGTGAGAAAGTAAATTTAGCTACATTAATTATTAAAAAGAAATGTTAATTATAGAATCTAGGTGGTGGAGATATGGGTGTTCATTGTACAATTCTTTCCACTTTTCTATGTGTTTTAAAATTTTCA